AGGAGGGGGAGAAGGAGGAACGTGGTGGAACGTTTTGTAAAGCACAGCGTGCTCGGGGGGAGGGACGGGAAAGAGAGGAGCCAGAGGCCCCGAAGCCCGCGGAGACGACCGAAGGTCATCTCCCCATGGCCCTACGCCCCCTCCAAACGGAGGATGGGGAGAGGCCGTCATGCAGGGTGGGTTCGGGGCGTCGCTCCTCCCAGTTCGCTGTGCTGCGGCCGCACTCGAGGAAGCTCCAACCGACGGGCTCACCAGGACGGCGCCTGGGAGCCGAATGCACACAGCGCGCTGCCAGCCCATGGTGGGCCAGGGTACCGCCGAGAGGCGGGGGGGTTTGAGGGCAACTCCGGACCAAGCAGACAGACTGCGGCCGACCACGCTCACTTCGTGCCCTCGCGCCAGGGACCTCAAAGCCGAGCCGCCGCCCCCACGGCACGCCAGCGGGTTTTTCAAGGGCAACCCCGAACCCATGCAGCCGGATGAAGCCGAACAGCGCCACGACGAGCACCGAGATGACGACCGCCCGAGCCTCCACCAGCGGAGGAAGAGCATCTCTGAAAAGCGCCGACAGATGGGGCCCTGCCAACAGGACTCGCTGGGAGTCGAAAGAATCATGCACGACAGTTAACCGAAGCCTGCACAGCTAGCGGCGCCAAGAACGAATCGGCTAGGCTTGCGGATCGTTGGCCATTTTGTCGAGATCTGTTTGAACAGCACCTCGGACCGAGCAGCGCCCATCCAAAGCAAGGCCTCAAACGCCTCCTTGTCTAGCGGCTTGTGGTAGATCACGGCAGTATTAAGCCAAAGCTCATGATGATTGTGTTGGTGATGCTGCTGATGATTATGGTGGTGATGTTGATGACGACGATGGTAATGGCAATGATGCTGATGCTGATGATGATGCTGCTGCTGATGATGAAAACGACGACGATGATGATGACGCTGATGGTGATGATGATGATAATGATGATGATGATGATGATGATGATGATGATGATGATGATGATGATGATGATGATGATGATGATGCTGATGATGATGATGATGATGATGGTGGCGATGGTCATCATCACGACGATAAGAATGACGATGCTGCTCCTGATGATGATGGTGATGATGATGGTGGTGGTGATGATGATGACTGTGGTGGTGGTCATGATGATGTTGGTGGTGATGGTTATACAGTTGATGATGCTGCTGGTGATGATGATGATTATGGTGGTGGTGGCGGTGATGATGATGGTGATGATTCTGATGATGAGGATGACAACGATGATGATGGTGATGATGACTTCTGATGGTGATGATGATGATGATGATGATGATGATGATGATGATGATGATGATGATGATGATGGTGGTGGTAGCGGTGTTGGTGACGATGATGATGACGACGATGATGATGGTGAGGATGATGATGATGCTGATCATGATGATGATCTTGATGATGTTGATAATGATGATGATGGTGACGATGGTGATGCTGGTGATGATGGTGATGATGGTGATGATGATGCTGATGCTGATGGTGACGATGACGATGACGATGACGATGATGACGATAACGATGACGATGATGACGATGAAGACGATGATGACGATGACGATGATGATGATGCTGATGATGATGCTGTTGCTGCTGCTGATGAGGATGATGATGATTATGTATCTGCCGACGATACTGATGTGCAGGTGAAGGGGATGAGTTTGATGACCCTGATGATAACACTGGCGATGCAAGTGGTGGGGGTGCTGACGATGAGTATGACGGCGGGGACGATAAAGGTACGTCGATCTGGCGTTGTATGTCTCCATTTTCTGGCTGCTGCTCCGAAAGAGCGTCTTCGGGAAGGGCTCGGCACAGATCATCCACAACCTGTTTTTCCAGATGGTCAGCAGCCGGGACAAGGACAGACACCCCTGCAAGCTGTGAGCCCCCGTTCCAAAGTTCCTGCTGCGGCTCGCTGTCGCCCGTGCCCGACGCGCGCCATGTCTATCGCCTTCCTGCCTCTCCACATTTCTCTCCTGCTGCCTGCCTTGGCGTTCCCCTCCCCTCCCCTCCCCTCCCCCCCCCTGGCGGTGGCGAGGGCCCCCCCCGCCCAGGACAGCCTGAACTATGTGATCAGCGCCGTCAGCATGGGGGCCCTGATGGAGGCCGCGCCGGGCCCCCGCGCCGCTCTCTCGACCTTGGCAGCCGGCCGGCCGTGGCACGCATGGGGGGGTGGGGGAGAGCTTCGGTCCAGGCTGAAGTCGGGCCTGTCCCTCTACAGGGGGGATGTTCCAAAAGAGTCCCAAAATAGTCTGGGGAGGAGTTTTGGACCATTTTTGACCATTCTTGAATATTTTTGGATGCTCCTTTTATGTTTCGCCCGAAATCGTCCTGTAGGGGGGACAGGCCCGACCTAAGTCTAGGCCTCCCAGATGGGGTCGGAGTAGATGGGGTCGAAGGATTGGTCCGCATCGCCGATGCATCGGCGATGCGGCTCGATGCGGAGCCCGAGCTTCTTCATGCCGATGGCGCCGAGACGTCGCCGACGTCGCGGATGCATTGCCGATGCATCGGCGATGGGGTGCAGTCCTCCGGCCCGATCTGCTCGGACCCCATCCGGGAGGTCTCTGTTTGGCCGGGGGCCGCCTGCTGCGTCCCTGCCGGCTCGGCCCGTCTCTGCCCGCTGGGCCAAGCCCCTGCCCGTCCTTCGATAGGCGGGTGTGTTGCCAGGGGTGTCCTCGGCCCCAGGCGTCCCCAGGATTGCAAGGGAGCCCCCCCACCCCGCTGCCTCCAGAGCAGCCCTTCCTCCTCCTTCTCCTCCTCCTCCTCCTCCTCCTCCTCCTCCTCCTACGCGGCCCAGAGGGCTCCAGAGACTCCCAGATGAAGCCAAGATCAGGGGACACCTTGGGCCACGGACTCCTTCCGCGACCCCCGACCAAGGGTCTCGCATCCTTTTTCTGCACTGTTTTGTTGGGAGATCCTGGGGCGGCGCAACGTGTCAGCACGTGGTGTGAGCGCGGCGGCTCGACGCGCCAGGACTGGCGGTGCGCGTCTGGGTGCACTGGAGGGTGCGCGCGCGTGGGCGCCAGCATACGTGCGCACGTGCGCGTGCGACCCGTACGTCGTCCGGCTTTGACTTGGCATCGCTCGGACGTGTGCATTTTTTCTCGGCGAGAACCATCGAGGACCATCCCGGACCATCGAGCAAAAAAAGCACGCACGAAACCAAAAAATGCACGGGAAATGGACGTCCGAGCGACGGCAAGTTGATCTTGGTCAGTCTAGCGTACACACAGCGCTCATGGGTCCATGCCTGGACTCGCGTGGTGCGGCAGAACACAGACCACACAGATGGTTCTCATCGGGCTGCCGACCTGATTCGGCACAGGTCCGCTGTCGCACGCGCGGGCCAGATGCGCTGCGTGTGTCTGTGTGGCACGGAGGGGCGGCACGGGTCCGCCTCCCCACGGTGTTGGCGCTGGTGCTGCTCTTTCCTCCTGCTCCTCGCCGTCGTCGTCCCCTCTCCTCCCTCCATCCCTTCTCATTCCTACTCCCTCCGTCCCTCCCCCCCTCTCTCCTCCCTCCTCCCCTCATCCCTCGTCCTTCCTCCCTCCTGCATCCTCTCTCCTCCCTCCGCCACCCTCGACCGCAGGAAAGTGTGGCACCCAGGGCGAGCGAACCTATAGGAACCTAGAGGGACTCAAGCGGCGACGTGAAGGGTGGCACCCAGGGCAGGTGAACCCACCAGAACCCATGTGAGCCCAAGCGGCGATCGGAGAGTTCGGCACCCAGGGCTAGTTCGTTAGAACGCACGTAAGACCACCTTGTTGCAAGCATTTCTTGGGGAGGAGCGACTGGACCGTACCGTGGCGAGCAAGCGTATCCGCGCGTGTATGTGCGCACATAAGCAAATACGTTCGGATTCTGTGCTTCGGGGCGTCGAGCAGTTCTCTGCCGGATAGAGTGTGTGAACGGCTCGGGGTGTAAGCTTTTCCCAACCATCCTGTGGCGTTGGGTCCTCGTTTTGAAGAGACAGCGCCCCGCGTTCCTTCCTCCCCCCCTCCCTCCTCCCTCCTCCCTCCTCCCTCTCCTTGCTTCTGCTCTCTACATGTATTTGTTTATCGGCACACCCAAGGTGTACCTTTTCCTGCACGTCCAAGGTGTACCTTTTCCTGCACGTCCGCTTCGGCACCGCCTGATCCCCGGGCTTCGCCCTCTCCTGGCCGCGTGAGGCCCCGCCTTCTCCCGCCCTTTCTCTGCTAATTAAAGCTGTGCGCGTCCCGCTTAGCTTTCAGCGGAAGAGGTTCGCTCTCGCCCTGCAGATCAACAAACAAGTTTCGGCACATCCCTCACACATTTCGTTGCCCCATGGGGAGCTCCACCGAAGGTCCACATGCCAGCGTTCGCATGCGCCCACCTGGTACACCCCTCACACGTTTCGCGGCCCCATATTGAGTTCCACCGACGGTCCCAGTTGCTGCGTTCGCATGCGCCCATCGCACTAATTGTGGCACTCCGTCACACGTTTCGCGGCCCCACAGTGAGCTCCACCGACGGCCCCAGTGGCTGCATTCGCGCGCGCGCCCACCGCGCCCATTTTGGCACATCTCTCACACGTTCGTGGCCCCATAGGGAGCTCCACCGAAGGTCCACATGCCAGCGTTCGCATTCGCCCACCGCACCCATTTTGGCCTCACATATTTCGCGGCCCCAGAAGGAGCTCCACCGACGGCCCCAGTGGCTGCGTTTGCATGCGCCCACTGCACCAATTTATGTATACACCGCACACTGTTCGTGGTCCCATACGGAGCTCCACCGACGGCCACAGAGGCTGCGTTCGCATGTGCCCATCGCACTTCGTGGCCCCATAGGGAGCTCCACTGACGGCTCCAGTGGCTGCGTTCGCATGCGCCCACCGCACCCATTTGGCATACCCCTACCACGTTTCGTGGCCCCATAGGGAGCTCCACCGACGGCCACAGTGGCTGTGTTCGCATGCGCCCACCGCACCTCTTATGGCACACACCTCACACGTATCATGGCCCCTCCGGGAGCTCCACCGATGGCCCCAGTGGCTGCGTTCGCGTGCGCCCACCGCGCTCATTTTGGCACACCTCTCAAACATTTCGCGGCCCTATAGAGAGCTCCTCCGAATGCGGCGCATACAACGACGGTGCTCACAACTGCATTTGGCTGGGTCCTCTGCGAGGCTAGTTTTGATTTTGTGTTTTTGATTTGCCCCGCTGCACATGCTCATGCTGATATATCTATCTACATACATTCTTTTTGTTTCAAAGATGTGGGGCCCTCCCCCCCTAGACGGGACCCCTCCGGATCCTTGGCCCCCGGGGCACCCTGGGCACCCGTGCAGACGGTCCCCTGTGCTTCCCGGGGTTCCTGACGCCCCTGCTGGGCCTAGGCAGCGGGCCGAATTTCGGCCAGGAGGCCCACAGGGGCCCCAAGCACCCACCAGACGCCCGACGACGGCCCAAAGAAGACCCCCTAAGAGGCATTCAAAACGCAACAGACTTTGATCCCCTATGGTTTTGGTGTGATTTTTGGAATGCTCAGTTCTTCGGTCTTCCGGGCGTCCGAGACCGCCCAGGAGGCCAGAGCATCGCCCCAAATTTAACCAAGAGGGTTCCAGCCAGTCCAAGGGGAGCCCCAAGACGGCCCAACAGGGCCCCAAGATGGCCCGAAGAGAGCCCCATGACGGCCCGAGATGGCCCCAAGACGCCTCTCGAATCATGCCAAATCGTGACCCGGTCGTTCAGGAAGACCGCGGTTGGAAGCAGGGTGGCCCGGGGAAGCCCCAAGAGGTCCCCAGAAGGAACTCATGAGGCTTCCAGAAAGCCCTAACAAGCTTCTAAAAACCTTCGTGAGACTTAGAGGAGGCTCTCGTAGGATGAGCCTCCCCACAAAAGAACTGAGGATGGGGGCGAATTCGCAGGGTAGAGGAAGAGGAATCATGAGGGAAGGATAACGAATCACATTATTACAACGACGATGCCAGAGAAGGAAACAACAAGTTATCGCTAAATGTTCCGTTCTACGTGATTGCCTTCTTGCCTGTATGCTAAACTTCAATAATCAAAGTGCAGGGCGCGAAGCGCCACTGCAGTCTTGTTTACACATATGTGTATATAAATTACACAGTTTTTCCATTGTTTGTGATCATTGGTTTCTTCTCGATGTGTGTAATCTTTCTTTAATTTGTTCCTTCTCGCTCTCTCTCTCTCTCTCGATCTTGATCTCGAATGGGAGTAGCAGGAAGATAAGGAGTACTAGTTGTGATAAGGCGTTTTGACATTTTAACATACCCCGCCCTGCGCGGCGGAAGGGTGCATTCGCGTCATCGAGTGCTCGGCTACTCACTATGGTCTCCGTGCAGGCTCAGACGCCCAACGCTGCCACCTCACGGTCGTTGCGCCGACCCTGCTTTCTGCTCCTTTGATCTGAGCCTCCTTCTCCTTCGAGTCCCTTCTCTCCTCGGACCCCCCCTCCTTCCCAGCCACCTCCTTCCCCTCCCTCCGCCGCCTCCTCCCCCTCGTCAGGAGGAGAGAAGACAGGAAAGGCGGGGAAAGGGAAGGACAGGGGGAGAGGGAGGAGAACAGAGGTAGGGGGGGACTGGTCTCCCTCCTCTACCTTTTTCCCCTCCCGCTGGGTGAAAACCAGCGAAAGAGCAGTTGTTCCGTATTTT